TTTAGGGTTTAGGGCTTAGGGATCCCTTTGCTGTTCCTCATCCTACTCTCCCCAAATCCTGAGAGTCATCCTGATCGCCATCCTCTCCGAGGCTCATTCAGTAGCGGCAGAATAATAGTTGCAAGAACAACAAGCAAAAAACATAACAACAATCGTAAGGATTCTGAGTATTCTCATTGCCATTTTTGGTAGCAGTAACCATTACCATATTGCGATAGTAGCAGTCGCCATGATCATACGTCAATAGCAAAAACAAACAATTAATCCAGACAGGTCGCCCATCTGCGAACTCTGGCCAGTGGGTCCTGCCTCACAGTTTGGCGTAGCTTTGGCTCGTACAAGAAGAACCATACGGAAGTTTCAATTCAGGGGGATCCTTAAATGCTGTATTTGCAGGGTTTTGGCGCTTTTCGGCTTCTGGTTGAGGGTTGAGGAGGATCCTCAAATACGAAGGCACCCCTAACATGCCGAAACCCCCATCAGATTTTCTACGCCAACTGCTAAGGTCGAAGCGACTCGAACGTCCGTTCAACCCGCTCGCCCGTGGGCAGTTTCAGCACCTGAATGCCAAAGCAGTCACGTTTACTTTTACGGTCAACCACGGAGCAGGTGAGGTTCGTACCAGCCGGACGGGATCGGCCTGGAAACCGACATGTTACTTCAGATGACCGGCAGATGTTTATCCTGTTCACGCCTTGGTGGGCGAGGGCCCTTCACGCAGGAACTCCTCTGCCAAAGCCCGACGGGCCTCACCAGCATGAGCGACACCGTCATGCAGACGAGTCGATGACATTCCGAATGCACCATCCCATAAAGTGCAGTCTGAAGCTCTCAAAGGAAAAAGCAAGCAAGAACCGTGCACATGAGAATACATGCCTCGTCGGCAGGATCTGCCACTTGCCGGACTGGCCTCATACAGGTCGGCTGAGGTCTCCAGCAGCTACAATACACCCATGACTGTGTATGTCTATATTATGACGTAAATGTATACGCATGCATGCATGCATGTGCAAAAACTGTGCTCTAGCCAGTGCGTGTCCCTATGCAATGGGACATGCATGCAGAGGCACTAGTACATCCGCACAATCTTTCAAAAGATAGAAAGAAACAGAGAGATGTACATGCATATATCATTATATACAATTATATATGTGTATTATATAGATATATATATATATATATCCATATACATTCACGTGCGATGTCCAGCTGCTCTGGATGTTGTGGCACCCGAGGCTTGCACTCGCTACCCTGCTGAACTGGAGCAGGTCTGACAGCCTGCAGCAGCGAAAGGTCTGGGGAGTGAGCCCATTGCTGGCACTCCCATGGTTCCAGGAGTCTTGGGGCTTAGGATGGTTTAGGGTCTAGGGTTTTGGATGGCTTTGGGGTTTAGGGTTTAGGATTTAGGATTTAGGATTTAGGGTTTAGGGGTTTAGGATTTAGTTGGGAACAACACAGAGTCGTGAAAATCATCGTCCAACTGCAGTCCGGCTGGAGCCTTTTTTCAACACGTGCCACACAATGCAAGGTCTCTCTCTTCCAGCTGGTCGTCGCTCCTTGGACATGCATCCCAAGGACGCTTAATATTGAGGAAACTTGAATCTTTTCATGTCCAGCTTCTCCTTGTATACAAGCCCGACCATTGACTTTCGAACTTTGTCTCGCACAGACTCCTCCTCAATGTCGCCAGGTACATCCTCATCGGTGATGATCGCCCTGCCCCGGAAGTCCTCAAGGAGTTCCAGCCTGTAGACCCGTGATCCAATCACACAGCAGGGCTCACCATCCAGAGCATCCTTCGCGCGCATGGCCTCAACCACGTCCTCGAAGTAGGCGAAGGCTTGGCCGGTCGGTCTTCGGCCGTGGCCCCGCAAAATCTCGACGGCGGAGCCGTTGTGCGAACCAGGAGCCAGCCGAAAGCCCTTGAAGAAGCCCTCGATGTCATAGGCCGTGGCATGGAAGGGCAGACCTCTTAGCCGGAGCCTCGGCAGCCCTGTATCCGCGGAGAAGCATCTCACGAATCCGAGCCCGGAGCTTCCTGGTCCTGAGTTCAGGCGCCGGGGCACCCCCAGCAAGCCTTTCAACCAGCCCATCACTTGGGCTTCAGACTACCAGAACCCTCGGGGGTTCTGGGGCCCACTGTACTAGAATTATAATAGGGGACCTTGACAGTAATATTGGTAACTATTTATAGGGTGAAACTCGGGGGGAGCTCGAGCGCCAAAAGTGCTCTCGGCAAAAGCAAAGGCAACTATATGGGTGGTTGTCAAAATTATGGTCCCTTTTTGGTTCCTTATTATAATACGGCACCTATTATCTAGGGTACCCCAAAAGCGACCATAATTTTGACAACTACCCATATCAGCTTTCGGCTTGCAGCACTTCAGGCTCTGTCATGTCATACGGCCCGCTACACCCTTCATCAACATCATCTCTTCTCTGTCACCACACCTCTTGCTGTGGGACGGCAGCAGCAGCTGCTGCATTCGCAGCTGCGGCCTGAGGCGGGCAGAATTCCTCTTATCCTGAACAATGCCTCCACAGAGGATCACAGGATGCTACTTGGAGGACCATGGGACTTAGTAAGTAAGGTTATAAGTCCCCTAATTGGGGTTATAAGTATAGTTACCTTAGTTATAACCCTACTTACTAAGTCCCATGATCCTTCAAGTACCACTGCCCAATACCATGGCTGCTGTGATATTGCTCAACGTTCTTAGTACGCAGAGCTGCAAGAAGCACGGTCGTAATGTGGTCGTCGTTCGCGCACATTCCTTCGTTGTCTAATGAAGCGCTGCCATTGTTGGACTATGTTGGACTACTTGCTCTTGCCACAAGCAGCATTGCTATTGTTATCTGCCCTCCATGATTTTGCACTTGTTTACCATTTGCCTCAGAGTTGTTGCTGCTCCTTCGACATACTGCTTGTTCTTGCTGCTATTTTCATGATTCATAACCGCATATGTTGCTGCGATGACTGACTTTTACAGAACATCGATTATGATCGCTAGTTTCCACGACGTTTACTGGTCACTTCGCGTTGCAGCAAGGTACAGCGTGTGCCTGATCCCTGGCCAGGCCCTCCGCATACTCCTGGTCCTGCGCCTGGATTTCCATGGATTTGGGATGGGAGTATCGGGCTGCAAGCATGGCTACTTAAAGGATCATGGGACTTAGTAAGTAGGGTAATAACTAAGGTAACTATACTTATAACCCCAATTCGGGGACTTATAACCTTACTACTAAGTCCCATGTTCCTCCAAGTATGAGGCTATGAGGCTATGAGGGGGCTGGGGCTCTACAGGCCCCTGCCAGGCAATGCCCGCGTGTCACTCGAAGATCAGCATGTTTCGCCATGAATGACGACAAGAGTTTGCTGGCACTGCTTCTGGAAGAGATCATGCCCACTATAACCTGTTTGACTGTTTGTTCTGTAAGGCGCGATATCTAGCCACGAAGTCTTCATGATGCTGGGTGCAGTGCGCTGTGCCTCTGCAGCAGCAGTTGACAGGTAGCAAACCAGAACGACATATTCCCAAGTTTTGCACCATGAGCCATGGAATTCGTTCTAGAGCTTTCCGTGTGCGATTTTCTTCGTTTCTGCGTTCGATGTTGGCAAGGTTGCACCCTTCCGAGGCTTTTGGGTTCGGCTCATTCCGATCGCAATGTAACAGCTCGCAGCAGAACGAGACCTACGACCTAGGACCTAAACCAGAAAGCCGCTGCTTTACTTTTGGTTGCGGGCCTGTTCCTTCCTTAGCTGAGTTAGACGACCACACCGCAGCAGCATCGCGTTTCGGGCTGAAGGTGCCCCCAGGCCGCATGGCTCACTGGGACCAAGGCTTGTCGCAGCTGGACATCCTCGTCGTTCTGGCGCGCCAGCATCACCTGAAGTTTCAGAGGCCCTAACATCGACCCCCTAAGGGCCCTACCCCCACGCTGTACGATCCTTGTTGCAGGGACCCCTACTTCAAGTTTGACCCCTACCCTAAACCCTAAACCCTAAACCCTAAACCCTAAACCCTAAACCCTAAACCCTAAACCTACTTTCTCAGACTCCCCCAGCTTTTTCGGGCGCATCCAAAGTCTCGGGAGCTCCGGGAGTTCAGGGCTTCGGCTCTCAGTGTACTCAGGGTAGGGTTTAGGGTTTAGGGGTTAGGGTTTAGGGTTTAGGGTTTAGGGGTTTAGGGTTTAGGGTTTAGGGTTTAGGGTTTAGGGCTTCGGCTCTCTGTACTCAGTGTCTCGCCTGGCGATGAACCTCCATGGCCTCGAGGCCCTCGAGGATGCTGTCCAGCGTCTGCAAGAGCAGAGGAGTGCTGGAAGGCTACGATGCGAGGACCATGGGACTTAGTAAGTAAGGTTATACGTCCCCAATATTGGGGTTATAAGTATAGTTACTTTATAGTTATAACTCTACTTACTAAGTCCCATGATCCTTTCAGTAAAGCTCACAAGCAGACGAGGCGAGGCAAAGAGGCAGAGCATGCAATGAGGAGAGGCCTGAGAGCGACCTCGGCGAGTGGTTGGCTTCTGATTTCTGCTTGCTCCAACTGCCTGTTGAATGTCCCTTCGACGGTGAACATCCTCAGCGGCCTACTTATCGCACCGGGTATCGCCAAGATCACCGTCATGGCCTCGACGCGGCGCAACAGTCATCGCCCCTTAAAAGGCCGGAACCCGAGGAGCCAGCGTCGGCTGCGAGAGGGACGGATATTGCCAGCGATGGCAGCATGTCCACGGGGGCCAACCTGGGAAGGGCACAACCGAAGGGTGCGTGCACTCCTACAGCCAGCAAAGCAAAGAGGCGCGGACTGCCGAAACTGCGTGTCCTTCAGCTCAGTGGGCTTTCCACGCCAGAAAACCTGCCATGACGGCTCGCTTCAGCTCGGAGTCGAAGGGCGCAAATTCAGTTCGGATGCAAACTCAGGCTGCGGTACCGCGTTCTCACCAAGCATCACCCGCACTTCTTGTGAGGCAAGGGCCTGGATCTGAGCTGAGTCATCGAAGGAGTGAAGGGTTACAGGCTCCCGGCCATGTACTGCATCGCCTCTTCTCTTACCGGCTTGCCCTTGGTCCATCTTGGGCACAGTCGCAACAAAACCCTCAATTAAACTCCTGTAGGTTCCGGAAGCCTGCAAACCAGAAGCCCCGAATCTTCAACACTCAAAACCCTGAGACCCGAGCACGGGGCCGAAACAGCCCAAATCCAGCTGAGGCGTCCGCTCTGCCGGAAACGATGGCGACAACCAGCCTCAGCTAATTACTGGTTGGGATTAACTTAGGTCTTTTTCACAGCCCGATGACCTTTGTAGCAGTAAGTTGAGGGACGGTGTGACTGTTCGGCTTTAGGATCACCCAAGTCAACCCACCCACGATGGCCCAGTCCAGCCCAGCCCAACCCAGCTCTCCAGCCTAGCCCAGCCGAGCTCAGCACACCCAGCCCAGCCCCGGAATTGGCGGGCCGGGGCAGGGCTGGGCCGGGGCTTCCAATGAATAATCAGGTTTCAATCAAAAGACTTTCAGCCCAGCCCCTTTCGGTCTGGATGTTCATTCAGCCCAGCCAGCCCAGCCCCTAGCCCCGTCTTGCCCCAGCCCAGCCCAGGCCACCAAGCCCCCACCCAGCCAGCAGCCCACCCCCACCCACAGCCCACACCCCCAGCCCAGCCCAGCCGGCCCAGCCCAGCCAAAAACAGGTTTCAGTCAGAAAACCTGCTCAAAACGTTATTGGCACCCAGACCCTTACTTGTAACAATTTCTATAAACCCCAAACCTTAAACCCTAAACTCTAAACCCTAAACTCTAAACCCTAAACCCCTAACCCTAAACCCCAAACCCTCTCAACTCGAGCCCCCGACAGCTTGGACTTCAAGAACGCCTCGGCCCGCGCGGCTTCGAAGCTTCCGGGGAAGCCTGGCACATGGCAAAAGGCGCAGGAAAAGGCGAAAACCCAGCAAAGAGTCAGGGTTTAGGGTTTAGGGTTTAGGGTTTAGGGTAACAGTAATGATAACAACTATGATGATAATAGTAGCAACAATAGTAATAATGATAGTCATGACAGCAATAATCATACTAGTGAAAGTACTGATAATAAACATAAGAATAACAATACGAATACTGATAATGTGATGTCCTGGCCACCAGAACAAGCGCGTCCGAAGGACGATCGGGGCATGGCAACTCATGGGCGGAAATGGGCTCCAACCTGAGAGTCAGGTTCTTAAGTTGGCAAGCGACAGAGCCACTGAAAGGTCCGTGCTCGTTCACATTGACGATCCCGGTTGTCCCTTCGCCGTAGTGGCACACGGCTGTCATACCATCCACCAGCCTTGGACACCATGCATGAAGCACACTGTTCGGCCTCTCTGAAGAAATAGACTTCCCCACATGGCTTGGTGCCGGAACTCTACCCAGAAGTAGGTATTGTCGGTCTTCCGTCGCGCAAAACTTCCGCTGTCCCAAGGCCTGTGCAACGAAACTGCATCTGACAAGCCGAAAGAAGCCTAAAGTTGTCGTGCTCAGACTCCGGCCCAGCTGTTCGTGCTTTACCTCGGCCGGAACAATCGTGACTGGCCGGACACACTCATACCCTAGTTCAAAGGCGCAGGCGAAGCAGAACCAGTAGCTCTGACCTATCTCGACAATGCGATATGTCGACGTCTCTCGCCTCGACACACGCACTGGCGTGCGGAGGGTGCGATTTTCGGAATACCCGGGGGCCGGCACCGCTAACTCAGCTTTCAGTTGTCTAACCGACATCCTGGCAGAGCAGGAGAGCTCTCTGAGGTCCAGGAAGACTCGCCTCCCCTCCTCCCCTCGCCTCGTCACATCAATGCCAGCCGTCGGGATGTCATCCTGTAGTACAATATGGGGGTTTCCGAAAATAGGGGGTACCTTATTTTGGGGTCCTTGTAATAAGGATCCTATTACTTAGGGTACTATATTAGGGTCCCCTCTTTTCGGAAACCCCCATATTCTCCAAACAACCACCCGTCCACGGCAAGGTTCGCTCCCGCCTCCTTTCGGGTGGTGGCGCCCGCCATGGCAGAAGCTAAAAGTGGGGGTGCGTCGCAAGACTATCGAAAGAGCCTACCCAAGGACAGGGATGGTACTAGTAGTCGGGATATGTAGGGATGGTAGGCGAGGCCGAGCATTGCCTCTGTGCGCAGGAGCCCGTCTTTGCCCCATGCATTCTCGTCGGGGCTTCAATGTCTCAGGCGCGGACGAAGAGACCCGGGAGTCTGTTAAGTGCGGTTTTTCCGACAATTAAAGCTTTTGGGCTTACACTTTCAGTACGACCATGGAGCTGTAGTAGGTGCTGCTACTTGCAGCTAACTTGCGAGCCGAGCAGACATGGACAGCACCTCACCTGCTTCCCAAGGCATATGCCATGAGTATGGATATAGACTGATCTTCCCTCATGGTCCCTATGCATTTAGGGTGTAATACACCCCAAACCCTGTTCGAAATCAGTGTCATGATAACGAACAGTAGTTGATGAGCCCCGGCATTCAGGAGGGTGCAGAACGGCGCCTGAGAACCGCCACCTGGCATCTTGGCGGCCGGTTTGCGCTTCCCGCCGCGCTCCTCAAATAGGTAGACGGCTTAAGGTGTAGGGTGTCGGTACATAAACCCTAAACCCTAAACCCTAAACCCTAACTCGTAAGATTTTAACTTTAGCAGTGTGACTTCGGCCTGACAAAGGCTCGGAACTCGGCTCACCGCCCATCTGGACGAGTGGCCTTGTCTGCTGGCTTCTCTGCCTTCGCAGGCTTCGCCGTCTCCTGAAACCGGAGGTAGGGGGATCCCTGATCTTACACCAGAACCTACTACAAGGGCAGCTATGCCCCTGATAGGCCCAAAGCCCCTAAACCCCTAACCCCAAAGCCCCTAAACCCCTAAGCCCCTAAACCCTGAACCCCTAAATCTCTGGAAGAGCCCTGCGCTTCTCCTGGGCGGCTTCCCGATCCATCTTCCGCAGCATCCTCTCTGTCGCTGCTGCGCGCTTGGCCTGGCCAGGGAGGGCGAAGGCCACGTAACTCATGGACCTCTGGGAGTTTCCGAAAAATAAGGGGTATCTGAATTACAGAAAAATCATTATCAATTTAAAAGTTTAAACTGATATTTATTTTCAAAAAAATATGAATTTAAAATTTAAATTCTGAGTTACAGAAAAATAATTAGGGGTATCTTATTTTGGGGTCCTTATAATAAAACCCTACTATTTGGGGTACTATATTCGGGCCCCCTATTTTCGGAAACCCCCATATAGTAATACGGTGGATGGAGGAAATCTTGCACCGCCCACATGTTGACTCATGATATGGGATCACCAAAACCCCGGACCCCCTGTTTAAGATTGATGATACTGTGCCATGTGGCTGGTGCAAGATTTTTGTCAGTGGAACCCACGGCCCTTCCCAGGACTGGACATCAATGTTAAACAGGGGGTGCGGGGTACTCGCATTGTTGGCCTACTCAAATTGGTGCAAGATTTCCTCATCAACAGTACCCAGCATCGTCAAATCGAAACATGGAGAAGCTTCTAGGAGTGGAGGTACTTTTGGGACGGCGAGCTCGTAAAGGCTGCTGAAATTCGTCTGGATGGCCTTCCCCATGCTCTGGCGAGCAGGCTAGATATGCTTTGCCATTGGCTAGCAGAAATTCTTGTAGCTTCCTGTCAGTTAACACGCAGTACCCTCAGTTAACACTACAGTCAACACTACAGTTAACACTGCCAAACTGCTGCAACAACAGCATTTTGTTGGTTTTATGCATAACGGAGCAAAAAACCTAATATTCACTGCTCTGAATGTTGGGAAGGGAGTAAATGTTGATTGTTGCAGCACTTCGGCAGTGTCAACTGTAGTGTTCATAACTGAGTGTTAACTGAGTGTTAACTGTGGGAAACATAGAACAGGCCTGTGTGCCATGTTGCCGTCCAAAGCCACACTAAGCAGTTGGCCAAACCACCCAGAACTGTTCCTCTAGCAGGGATCCTGTCAGTGGTAATAGTAACAGTAATGTAATAATCATAATAATACTACTAATGGTAACAACAACAATAAACATCATGAGTTCGTGGCCCGCCAGCGCCTCAGGGTCCAAGACCTTTCGAGCACGCCGCGACGGGGCAGCAGGGGGCTCCTGCAACTGACCGGGCAGGTTTGCAGCTGCGGCGCTTTAAGAGCGTTGGAACAGATCCTCCTTGGAGGGCTCTGTCGAGGGCTCTTTCGAGGGCTCGGATTCCGCCATGGCTGCTATGAGAAGCAAGCTTCGGTCGATGGCTGCTACGAGCAGCTTCCCGTAAAAGTGCTAAGGCTAGAATGCTAGAAGTACTAGGGCCCGATAAACTCCGTGAACCCTACAAACTCGTGTTTTGGTGGAGACATGTTGTCCGATTCGGCCAGCCATGGCAGCCTGCTTCCAGGTTATGCGCGATGAGATGGATTCTTGGATAGCTCACACCACATGTTGGCTACAGACTAAACAGAAGACATGCACTACACCCACGGCTGCGCTTTGGTTCTCTGTGCCGCTGATTCTATTCAGGACTTGTGTAGTTCGAACAGTTGATGCTGCTTTCTGGCCGTGGTTCTGCGCATGTTGGTGGTCTTAACTGCGGAGGAGGATTCATGGGACCTCTCTGGCACGTAGGCTCCGTACGTGTCGGCTACTTCAAACGGGGCCACGAAAGCCTCGACAGCTCGGGGCCGAAAGCAAGGCCGGAGTAAACTACAAGATCGAAGAAGAGGTGGGAAACATGGAGGGTGACAGTTTGAAATGCAGGGAGGAATGCCTATTCTGTGCGGGAGATCATTACTGTCCCATGCAAAACAATGGGGGTTTGGCCAAAAGTGGGGAGGAATGGGCATCATGTCCAAAAATCGGTAGCAAGCTTTGCTGATCTAGCCTCTGCGAGCTTTTTCTGGCGCGAACCGTGTTAGCCTGCTGTTTCCCCATTCGGGGATCTCACAACAGAAACCCAAGCGCACATCAGCATCGCACGTGCGCACCTCTCACATGTGCGCGTGGTGGCTTACTTAAAGGATCATGGGACTTAGTAAGTAGGGTTATAGCTAAGGTAACTATACTTATAATCCCAATTACGGGACTTATAACCTTATACTAAGTCCCATGGTCCTCCAAGTACGCATCTACGTCCTGAGCTGGGAACATCAGTGCAGGAGCGGCTCGCTCGGGTCTTCCAGTCCTTGTGGCCATGGAAACTCCGACCTGCCCGCTTCCATCACGCTGTCACCTTCCCTTTTCTCTCTGCTTCATGTGGCACCTGGACGTGGGCCTCTTGCTGGAATCCTGACCTTGTGAAAGCCTGAGCAAGATCGAACGCATGAGACAGCAGGCACAAGAAACGATTGTGCCAGACTAGCAAACAGATACAATGAATGTATCCATGTATGTATGCACGTGTGTATGTATGTATGTATGTATGTATGTATGCATGTATGTATGCATGCGTGTACGTACGTACGTACGTACGTACGTATGTATGTATGTATGTACGTATGTACGTATGTCTGTAGGCATGTGCGTACGTACGTACGTACGTACGTACGTACGTACGTACGTACGTACGTATGTATGTATGTATACACAACATATGTATATACATATATATATATATATATATCAGTATGTACTACTATACATATTTGTCAAATAGAACTACGTAATACTACGCTGCTACAACATGTTTATATATATATATATTGCTACGTATCAGGCCATCTGCACTACTATGTATTGCTACATGTTGCTATACTTACATATATATATATATATATATATACATACATACATACATACATATAGTTCCGTATTATGTATTATACATACTTATTGCTGTTATATATTTACTATACCTTAATGTATTTTTATACAAAATTCTATCACACACACCGCGCAAAGGCAGTTGCCGGGAGCCCGAACCGTCACAGGAGCGATTCCAGAGCATCTTGGCAAAGAGAGTCGAGCGCCACCTGCAATTGGTGGAGATCTCTACTTCCAAAGGGATCTTTACGGGTTTCTATAGGGTTTCTATAGGGTTTCTATGAGGGATGTATATGGGTACTTCTCTAAATTAGGATCCCTTTTAGGGTCCTTTTGATAAGGGTGCCGTACTTTTTTGGGGACCTAAAAAGGGACCTTTATTTAAAGAACTACCCAAATGGTGGAGATGTCTTGGGTCTTTCGCCAGTGTTTAGGGTTCAGGGTTTTTTGCGTTTAAGGTTCAGGGCTTAGGGTTGAGGGTTCAAGGATTCGGGTTCAGGGGTTCAGGTTTAGGAGTTTAGAGTGGAGGGGTTTAGGGCTTAGGGGCTTAGGGTTGAGGGTACTTCTTTGCAATGCCGGACAGCAGCCAGTGTTTCTTCAAAATGTACTAGGAACAGACCACCAAATCAACCGAAAGGTGTGAGAACCAACCCAAAACCCGGAACGCTAAAAACCCTGACCCCAAAACTCCCCAAAACCTACACCCTACTAAACACCATTCCCGCGTTTCGAATCGGTTCTCCGAACCCCCAGGCTGGTCATTCCAATCGACCCGCAAGCTTCTCGGAATCTTTGGTTTCCTGTATCTCCGAGTTGCCTTCGGAATCGTATACCCCCGTGAGTCGGCACCTTCTCAAACTTGCAAAGATTCAGCAGCCGTAAAGAGCAATCACCTGCAAATCACATACATGCTTCGAGACGAGCAGTCGCAAGCCCACAAGCAAGCAAGTGGTGGGGCGCAGACGCAACGGCGAGTAGAATCAGCGAAACACTGGCTTGCCACCATAGCGTCTGCCAGTGGACCTTCCTGTTGCGGAGGCCGCCAGATACCGAACTCAATAACAAAAACTTCCTGCAGGTGGGTCCATCATCAACACCAAAATTATGACTACCGTTCTCATGAACCCTCTCTGGAGGTCGACCTTCCAAGGACCCTGGTGAAGCGAGCACTTGGGAAAATAAGAAGAGGGGAGTATTCTGCGAAGTGAAGAGGCAGCGAAAGCGTGCGAATTTCTTGCCTGCACAATATTTGCATACACACATATGGGGGTTTCTGGGAATAGCGGACCCTAATATAGTACCCTAAATAATAGGATCCTTTATATAAGGACACCAAAATAAGGTACCCCTAATTTTCGGAAACTCACATATACACATACGGCCACATACATAGACCTCCATACACCTACATATGCACACACACACACACATCATACACACACGCATATATACATGCATACATGATCATTCATGCATAATGAGTTTTACATGCATGCCCGCATACATGCGAACATAGATAGAAAACGGCCGGACGGACGGACAGACACACCGAGACGCGCTGGCAGACAGGGAGGCAAGCAATCAGATAGACCTAAACAAGTCATTACGTGCCCACATGTACAAACCGACATGTCTATACAAACGGACCTGTGGCCCTGGACCCACCAAAATGCTGGCCGCCTGCCCCGGTCGACCTTTTCTGAACCCTAGGCCTCCAGCTTCGCCCAAGCACTGCTGGCCCCAATTCCGGAGGCTGCGCCAGCGAGGAGCTGCACCTCTCAAGAAGTTCAGCTGGCAGCGGCACATGTGGAAAACAATGCACAGACTGCTTCGCACACTGTCACGTACCTGTTGCATGCACAATTGTCTGGGCTACCCGCTATGGCATGAGCTCCCGTGACGTAGCGCATGCTGAGAACTCCAACGGCCTTACTGGAGCCAGCCGCGTGGCTCCGGCAAAATCCCACCAATCTTCCAAGCACGCAACCCAGAGAGCAAGGAGGCAAAGGGCACAGGCTCGGAAGCCTCTGCCGAAGCCTGCGGCTGCTAGCCGGGGCTGCCTGCATGGGCTAAAAAAACACAAGAAAGCTCATCTTTCTGTTAAAACTGTAAATTCTGTCGCACAGGCGTTTTGGAAGGAGTCAGCTCTTTGGACTCTGAAGCTTGGGTCGAATCCCTTTGAGATTCAGACACTTTCGTTAGCTAAAGCAGCCCTGCAGAAACGCCCAGGCTGCTCACTTCCTTGCTTCATCCCAGGTTTGCAGTGGCCGGTCACTCGCGCGGCAGATTTCCCATTGTTGCCATGGCCTCAGCTTCAGTTTCGGGTTTAGGCAGTACCGTGAAGACAGTATGGCTGTACGTTTCAGGGTTGTCGTGCGGCATGAAGCAGCAGATCTTTGCTCACAAGATCTCGTCCTTGCTGATGTGTCCTGATCGCTTGAGCCAAACAGAAACCAGCGCAGTCATGCATCCCTTCCAACAAGTTGAAGAGGACCAGGACTGAAACCATTCCCACATATTCTTCAGACAGTTGTGTCAGTCAATGCCCCCCAACCATTACTCAGCTTGTCCCCCCGCCAGCAGAGAGCCGTTTTGCAAAGTTAGGCCCGGGCTGCGTGGGCAAACACTGCGCAAACTCCTGAGAAAGATCGAAGTAAGAAGCAGGCGCCGCCCAACCCAGAAATGAGCTGAGGCTTCGTCTACCCTCAGCTTCTGCGCAACTTGGTAGTGGTCTGACAAGTACCCCAACGCCGCGCGTGGCAAGAATGGCTTCTACACCGCACAGAGAAACGGCCTAGGCCGTATGCTTCCATCTCCGTCAGCAACTTCAGCACCTCAGGTTGCAGTCGACTTATGACACTGTGTCGATGATATCGTGTCACGTGACTGAGTTAAAAGCCGTGGGGTACTGCTTGCACCGGCAACAGACTCTCACAACGCTGCAGTAGGAATTCCCCTGCGAGCATCGGCAGCGTAGACAGCATTATATGGGCAGGCACTTCTTGGCGGCCTGCCTTGGGTACAATGCCAGTATCTCGGAGCTGTTGCAAAAGCTCCTGTGCATTCTATTTGACTGGTCAGCAACGGGCTTCTGTCATAAAGATGGCCCCGACAAGCGATTTCTTCCAGTCTTGGGCGAAGCCGCACAAGCCTCTGTTCTGAAGGAAGCAGAGAAGCTGCAAGCCATAGCAAGCCATCAGACACAGCGGCATCAGGCACCCCCGTTGTCTCGGGACTGGACTTATGAGATCATAATGGATCTCCTCGTCAAGCTCGAAACCTGTGCAGGTTTAGCAGCTTAAACCAGGTTTGGGATATCCCGGGACCCACTAATAGCGACAACGGCGACAACTAAAAGCACAATAGAAACGAATTCGCCTGCGCCGCGCATCTCTTCGAATACGTCCAGAGCGGACTCACGACCTGGGACTCGGCTGCAGGCTAATGCTCATCGAAAGCCACCCCTAGGAGTCAGACATTGGCAGTTGATGCAGGCCGCGACCAGTGCATTGTAGACAGACTTGTCTGGCTTGATGCCATTTTGCTGCATTTCTCTCAATGCCTGCACAGCCTGCAGCATGTGCGATGCAGCGTAAGCCTACCTGTAGTCTCCATTTTTCCTTTTTGGGGATACCTTATAAAATCCTTAATATATAACTGGTTAAACCAAAAAACAAGGAACTACAATGGAGACTATGGGTAATCCCTAAACCGTTAGAAACAACTCGGAAGGTCCCAGAAAATGTGGCTGAAAGCCGAAGCAGCGGCCTGCGCCGGCTGCCCTCGCTTCCCGAGGTTGCTGATGAGCCTGACAGGAATCAGAGAAGGCGTTACCATAACTCCGTGGAAGAGAACATCCGTGAAAAGGTGTCCATCGCAGTCCGAGCCCCAACCTCGTGTAAACTCGCCTCTCATGTGCAGCTGACAAGCCAGCATTCTTGCCTGCAAGTGCCAGCAGGACAGTCACAAGCAGGGGTTGGAGCTTTCACAGGTCCAGCCTCCTACAATCTTCCCGCAGCTGTGCTCTGCAATCACGGTCACCTGCGAAAGCAAGATGGGGACCCTCTGCATCAGTCGCCCTGAATGCAGCTGCCCAGGACCCGACACAGTTTGCGAGCCCAGGCTTCTCCGCGGGGCAATCGTTTCCCCACCATCGATAGTCACCTGAAAGCTTGCTTTTGGGCACTATAGACTATGGGGTTTGGGGTTTAGGGTTTTATAGACCATAGACTCTGAGACTATGAGGTTGCTCGGCAAGGAAACGCGATAACGAGGTGCGCACTGGAAGGTGGCTTTGAAGTGCATGGCGCCATGTGGCACAACTTACGCTGCAGACTTACTGCACCAGGCCTTCCATGTTTGCCTCTTGCAGGAATGGACAACATGAGCTGAGAGCGTACGTGCATACACCTATGCCTATGATCTCATCTCACGGGCTGGAGCCAGAAACTGCTGGATTGCCCCCAGCACAGCAAAACATCGGAAGTTCACGGGCAGTGGCACTTCACAGAAACTTGACTTGCACTTTAGAGAGCATGCACCCTACCTGGCATGCAGCTGCCCAAGCAAAAAGCCTGCGAACGCAGCATGCTCCGACGGCCTGGATGGCATCCATGATCCATGAGTCGCAAGATCTGTTCTGCAGATAGGCTTCCCATGTCAGCCCCAGGCATGCCAAAGGGGCCCTCAGACGGCAGCACGTAGGCAGCATGCTGGACAGGCCTCCGGTAGAGCAAGGACCCAGGACACAGACCGAGCCGCAAAGCGGAAATGTTCGTGGACGCATAAACGCTGCGGTGCTTGCGTGCCGTGCTGGGCTGCTGGCCGTGGCTGCTGAAGAAGGCCCTTACACGGCGAAACGGCTGGAAAACTCCTTAACGTCTCGACCTCAGATGCTAAGCCTCTCGGCCCAGCCTTCAACTGCAAGACACACGTGTCCAAGAGAACGGCTCCGAGAAGCGTCCAAGCCTGAGATGGCACATCCCTGCCTTTTTGTCATCTCGAACCCTCGTTTTCTTAAGCTCGATACCCACTCCACACGTGTTGTCCACAGAAAGCCACCAGCCAGAGCAAGACCAGCTGGAATTGAAGTGGCCACCAAACCTACCTGGTTCAAAAAACGGTTCTCGACTGCGCTTTTTCTGAAGATGTGCCTTCTCCTGCACTCAAGCCGGAAAGCTCGGGGTGTGGCGATGATGGTCGAAAGGCTCTGGAACGCCCGAGATTCGACAGCCATGACAGCCGCAGGCTACGCATCGCTTTATTATTCTAACCAGCTATCCTAGGCCCAGCTCTGAAGAGTCACCGCGCTTGACCAAGGTATTAATCACTGCACTGTTGTCGACAGATGCCCCTGCGCTTTGGAGCCCTGGCTTTGATCCGTGCGCGTTTGCAAGCCTTGCGCGCTGCGAAGCCCGAATGCAAAAGGCTACCAAACGGGGACATTTTCCATCAGTCGGACTGGTCCCACTCCTCCACATCAGCATGCCATCGTTTGCTGTCCGCCTGACTGCAGCGCAACAGTGGCTGCAACACGGACAGCGATGCTTCCCCATCAATTCCGTGCGGCTCTTGCCTGAGGAGCACACTAGTTGTCTTTATTATACCGTTGCTCACAATGAACTTCGCTGACACATGGGAAAGTGAACTCGTCGAACCAGTAGCGACTCTAGTTCACCTTAAGAGCCTAAGCCGTAATGTGGCTGCTGAGGCTTCTCGACATGGAACCTACAAGTCTTCCTCGGAGCGCTAAGCTACTATGAGAAGATCGAGACAGATCTACGAGCCGAGACGTGGAATTCAAAATGACCCCAGGAACCGAAACATAGACATCAGTTGCTGAGGCCTCATCCCTAAGTGCAAGTCTGAAAGTTTCCAAAAAGACATCTTGAGCAACCCTCATAGCCTCTGATAGCCTTGTAGCAACTCTTACGGTCCTATTCTACCAGCCCCGCTCGAGTGACACCTGGGCACGTCACGAGCTGAGTCCGACACCTTGGCAGGCCTCGGCTCGTCCCGGATGGCAATGGGACACAAATCAAAGTAGGGTAGTTCTCTAAATTCGGGTCCCTCTTTAGGTCCCAAATATAGTGCGGCCCCCCTATACAAAGGACCCCAAAAGGGACCCCAATTTAGAAAACTACCCACTAACTGAAACAGTAACCCAACAAAAACACTACGTAGCAATACTATTCACCATGAGGAGGACCACAATCACCATCATCCTCACCGTGGTCATCATCATCAGCATCACCAGCATCATCATCGACGTCATGATCATCATGATCGCGACCGCCATCATCAGCTTCGCCACGAGTGCAGTGAATGTCATGGTCATTCCAACGACTATTCATGGTCATTCTCTTCACGTGGAGCCTTTTGTCTGATCATACCGTAGCCGGCTCTTTTGCATGGCCAGTATCACCACTATGCCTGCGATGACTATTGCTATTGTTCCTCTCGTTTGTACAGCTCGCAGTTGCACTCTGCATGCTGTCACTTGTAGCCCATGGGGCAAGACTACTCTTCCTGCAATGGCCAGTAATTTTGCATTCCCACCACTACAACTGTCTTCCGATATGTATGCTACTCTGCACTGACAGGTGGGTTTGTTGTTGCTCGTGGATTTCCTGCGAACTTCCAATTGACTCGATAACGATTGCCATGACAGTTCAAACGTTTAACTTGTTGCCACGATCACCATTTCCTTCCCGTCCACAGCAACAGTGGCAGCGTTTTTGCTGTGTCTAGTGGCAGTGCGCAACCTGCCGCATCTTTGCGTTAATGACAACCAAAACGAGAGGACTAACAAGATACGACAAAGAGAGAACAAGAACGGCAAATCGCTCATCGCATCAAATGCCGACTGAGATCCCAGCGAATTTTGCAAAGTCACGCTTCGCTGTCGCTTCTTTCGTGTCTCCTGCAAGCATGACTCAAGGGTATTCGTTGCTGGCTCAGGCTGCTTGGCCCTGAACAATTTGGAGCGACTGTTGCTTTGATGTTTTACTCTTTTGATGAGGCTCCTCTAGTCTTTGCTATGCCATCGCGCGACGCATCCTTTCCTAGTTCTATTGCACCTGAAGGATAAGTGGAATGATGATCATCATCTTCTTCATCGTCGTCTTCACCATCGTCAGAATCATGATCATCATCACATCATTATTATGATGGCATTCTTGTTGCTATTGCGATCACTAATACTATGATTTTACTAGTAGTAACACTATGATGGCTATAATGAATATCATAGAACAGCATCATCATGATCAACATCTTCAGTTCTTACCCTAAACCCTAAACCCAAAAATCCCTGATTCTTGACCCCTGCCTTGGCCCTGCCATTGGAGGCTTCCGAGCTCGGCTTCGCAGCCTGACAAGCGGAAGCGGCGCAGGAGTTTAGGAGTTTAGGAGTTGAGGGGTTTGGGAGTTTAGGAGTATGAGGGTTTACGAGTTTAGGGGTTTAGGAAGTTCAGGAGCTTAGGAGTTTAGGGCAGTCTAGAGCTTGGGTTTAGGGAAGAGCTTGCTCTTCGTTTCAGAGCCGGATGCCTTTGCGATAACGAAGAAGATGAGGAGCACGATCATGTACCTTGATGTTGTTCAACATCTCGACTTGGTCTAGTTGAGACATTTGCAGCTGCAGCAGCAGCTGCAGCAGTGTGACTGTGCTACTGCTACAGCGACTTCTACAGCTACTGCTGCCGCTGCTGCTACTGCTACACCTCTTCCTCCTTCTCGCTCCTCCTCCTACTGCTATCCTGCTTCTCCTGCTGCTGCTCTTGCTCTGTTGAACAGCAACGATAGCCTCAACCAGAGCGCCAAGCAGCTAATCAGCTAGCGACTAGCAATTTCCATCTGCTGTACTTACCGACGTAGTTGTTCATTGTCGCTGTATCTCATGTCGTGCTGTGGCGAGTGTTGATGGTTGTTTTGCTACTATTGCCATTCTCCATGAGTTCGCATGCTCCATAATGCTGCGTTCTTGAATCTGCTGCAACTCTTACCTCCCCCCAGGTACGCACCTTCTTCGGGGCCGTCGTGGACTCCACCAGTTTTTCGGCCTGCGAGACCATTCCAAAAGCAGCTGCAGGACTTCAGCGTTGAATTCTAAGGTGCTTGTGGGGCTTAAGCTGGAAGCCAAGCCTCCTCATTCGTCGCTGCTGAATTTGTCGGCTTCGCAGCCTTGCTCATGCGTGTGAAGGGCTTGGACCCTATAAACGGTTTGTTTTTTTATGTCTAAACTCTAAACCAACCTGCGTCTGCCCTGTTTGAGGGCTTGAGGCAAGGCAGACCGATTGGCTTGAGACGCCCCCCGGTTTGCTTCGTGTGTCCTGCGACGCTGGGCGCACCTTCTTCGGGGCGGTGGTCGTTTCCACCAGGACCTCTGCCTCCAGACTCCAGACAGTGACCCATTCCCCCACCTGAAGTCTGCACTTTTCGATATGGGTAGTTCTCTAAATTCGGGTCCCTGTTTAGGCCCCACAAATGGTGGGGCACCCTTGTAAAAAAGACCTTCAGAGAATGACCCATATCGGAGTAATTATTCGCGAGGCTACATGGGGGTTTCCGAAAATAAATAGGGGACCCTAATATAGTACCCCAAATAGTAGGATCCTTATTATAAGGACCCCAAAATAAGGGGACCCCTTCTTTTCGGAAACTCCCACATCAGGCCTGGGAGACCTTCCGCTTCATTCCCGGAAGGGCTGCCTGCTTTTCGCCGGCCGCGAAGGGGTCATCATGGGCCACACTCGGAGCGCTGGGGTCCCCACGGGCTGCTCGGACATGAGCTTGAACCGGTCCGTGATGACCGGATGCCTGGCATCAAAAGCGCCCACGGCAAGCGAGGGAAACTCAAGAACGAAAAGCGTGCCGCGGAAGACGCCGGGTCTATCAGCAAGGGGCAGAGCATCGACACCTGCCCAAAAGACGGCTCTGGCATGCTCCGGCTGTGGCTACTCGCGAAGTCTTTTCCAGGACCGGGGCCTCCGGTGGCGAACGAGACACGAAGAGGTGGCAAATACAGTGAAACCTGACAGATGATCTGACTCGATGGCTCTAAGGGAAGCAGACTGAGGAGCCGGGAGATGCCAGCGCTTGAGGTGTCAGCCCATGATGGAAGAGATTCCGCAGAATAGGCATGCGAAAGCAAGCCCCACCTACAGAAACAGCAGAAATCCTCAAAAAAAGTGCTCGGAAGCTTTGAGCTTAGGGCCCAAGTCCATGTCCGGAGCCAGCGGGGACTCCAGGCACAGTTGCAGTTTTGGTCCCCAATCGTGCGGGCCTGTCATCCCCGAATCACCGGCAGGATTCGTTGTTGCATGGAAAAAGTCGACACTGCGCACGGCCTCGCTGCTTCCTCTCGGGGAAACGGCCAGCCTGTGACACGTCTGCAAGTAAACAATAAAACTCAGGTGGAGTATTGTAACTTGATGGAGCTTCTAGTACCCCTGCCTTCGCGAAGGTCGATCCGCCATCGAGAACCGAGATGCCCTGTCGAAGAAAATGACTAAAAGGTGCTGGGTGTTCAGGAATGGTCAAAGGGTAGTTTGTCGAACTCTGCATGATGACTTGAGCGCCTGATCCTTGTAGTTGAACTCCTGCCCATAGTACCTCGCAAGAATTTCCATGCCACAGCCAGGCAGCCACAAGAACGCCAGAAGAATGCGGAAATGGGCAACACTGCCACGGCTCTGCTGTTGGGCATGCAAATTTGGCAAACAAGCCCAAGACAAGCAAGCAAGCAAGCAAGCGGGCGAGCAAGTTGAATCGTATAGCATCATACTTTCCTGTCCCTTTGTCTGTCCTCTCCGCATTACTCCAGGGGGAGGAAAGGAGTGCCGGCAATGATGGAACACATCTTCGTGGTGGCAGTAGACGGCGACATCGTCATGGCCAGCATCACCACCATCGTCATCCTCATCCTCATCTTCTTCTTCACGTGCAGAAACACATCGGCAGCAGCAGCAAAGGCGCCAAAGCACCGAAGATACATTGGTACTGCGATGGCGTCTGGCTAGGGGGGAAGATGCCGTCGCATCGCATTATACTCACAACGTGTCACTTCAGGAAGTCGAAGAGCAAGTGTCCCAGCGAAGTTCCGGCATACCTGGGCACCAGGAGTCCCGAAAAGCACAAGGAAATTGCCTCTAGCTCTGCGGGATCCCTGTCACAGCATACTCCTCCTGAAAGGGTATATTGAGTTCTAAAATAGGTTCCCTTTGAGGGTTCCTTCAAGGGTGTAGGGTTTAGGGTGAATCCAGAAGAATCTCAATCTTGCTGAGCCGGCTCACTGGCGGGCACTCCGGGATGACGGATGCCTCTGGAGGAAATGGAGAACCACGTTGCAGAGAAGGTAGGAGCCCATACCACCTGTTGAGGTCCATGCTTCAGGATCTGCATAATAATGGTAATAATAATAAGAATAATAATAATAATAGTAATAATAATAATAATAGTAACAATAATAAGAATGGGCTTAGCACTCTGGAAAAATGTGGCCTGTGTAGGTCTCGTGGAGCCCTCTCTGCAGAAGGAAGTACTTCAGGAATAGAAGCAATGGCTTCATCTGCGGATACTCCTTTGCATGCATGCTGATGGTCTGAGAGGCAACTCGTACCGTCGACACATAGAAGCAGCTGGCAGCACTCCTTCAGCTTGGAGCGGATGAACTTGGAGGAGTCCATGCCATCCGGCTGCAAGCAGGGGCAGTGGTTTTAACACGCACAAAGCAGGAGCGCTACTTCTCCGGCCGCCTGGCTGAAGACCACATCGGCACGAAGGCCACATGACTGCGATCGAACCTTGATCACCGGCACCTGGCCCAAGTGTGCTCTTGAGCCACGGTCCGGGCTGACGACTGGGAGTTCGCCTTCGCAGTCTCGATGATTTCCAACCAGCTGATCTCTCCCTTGGAGAGTAGCTGATCCTCGCAGATGTGGCATCTGCAAGTGCCTTCTGCGCTCACTGGACTTAGACACGCTAATCTGGCCAAACTCAGCAACACAGTCCGCCAGCATCTTCATCGCAGTACCTGTCCTACAAGGACGGCAGCCAAAACAGCATGCTCGATTCCAGATTGGCACAGTCTGTGTATCGTTCGTCGACACAAGAATCGGAAGCTGCCAACAATGATGCGAATGAACATTTTCCCGTCGCTTGTTGAATACCACTGGGTGCACAAGCCCCTGCTTGGCAAAGGCTACTGAAAGTGCAGATTCGAAATTTGGCTTAAACAAACGGTCTCTGCACTATTGCCGGACAAGATCTTGTCAGGCTAAGCTGTCCTGGGTCAAGATTACACCGAGAACTCTAGACAGGTTCGAGTATGCAACGTGACGATTCTCGCTTCATGCTCGTGGGATTTTGTGTCGCAGCCGGTTCTTGCGAGTCCTTGTGATGAAGTCCTAGCCTGTCACTCCGATCGAACCAGATGCTATCTGTTCACGATCTTGACCCTGGCCCAGACATGGCAAAGGTGTTCTCTGCAAGCAATGTTACTACATGTAACCATGAAGGCACCAAGTTCTGCAGCCTCACCCAGAAAAAGCGGGTCTGCACAGCTGCGGAGAGATGATGCGCATGCTGCAGCGTCCACTCACACTGTACAATGCTGCGCTGCACTGCCTTCCACTGAAAGCTGACATACTGTACCTTGGCAGTCTGGTCTCTTGTGTGGTTTTTGCCGCATGCCTGGCTCCGGAGAGAGGATGGGAAGCCGCAAACCCCAAAACAAAGCCTGCTGCTTGGCAAAGCAGGCGACGACCGAGACACTTCCAGATCAAAGACTTTTGTGGATGCCGCTTGTGTGCATCCCACGTCTACAAAACTTCAGGAGCTGTCGGGGCCTAGATGACATCTCTGACCAGAAAAGTGCAAGATTGTAGGTGTTGCAAGACTTGGGTGGCGGCTGAGTTGCAGCTTGCCTTTGCCACCATCGGAGGCTGTAAACGAACCTGAAACATGTGAGGTTTTAGGAGCTGCTGAGAAAGAAGTGTCAGGCTTCCATGCCTGTGATCTGCGCGACGTGATGACTGTAGAAGACATGTCCAGTAGCCTGCGGCGAGTGGCGGGCAAACGACTGAAGAAGCTTTACAAGACAAACCAAATCAAACAGGTGGCTCCAATTAGAAGCCCTGAACCATAAACCCCCCTTAGCCCTAAACCCTATGATGTGATCGGGAAGAAACGCTAAAACCCTCCAGCAAAGCATGTAACAGGCATCGAGTCGAGGCGGACCCGAACATCTGGTCGAGCGAGACCTAAACTCCCAAGACAAAGTTGATAATAACAATAATAGTAATAATAATTATGGTAATAATAATAGTAACAATAATAAGAATGCGCTTAGCCGAATAATAACCAGAATAAAGCTGATAGCACTACTCATACTAACAATACGAATAGTTCGAAGAGAATTTATAATACTACTCATACTAATAATACCGATACTACGAATACTACTACTAATCATGCGGACAAGACGAGGAATACTAACCATCCCGATCATGCTAATCATACCAATCATACCACGGATCATTGTAGTCACTGTACTCATTGAACCATTACTAATGGTGTCTGGGTAATGTAGGGGCCTCAATATTTAGAATCGGGTTTTGGGTGGTATACTACTACAATTATAAGAAGGAACCCCCCAAAACCCTGTTCTAATTATTAAGGCCCCTATATTAGGGTTTCGGCTTTCCGGGTCGCAGCAGTGACCTCCACGGTGCCCCACGGATGCCTCTCCACCTCGCTGGAGCAGCGTCGCTGAACATGGCTTGCAGTCTAAGGACTTTAGGAGGGTTTAGGGTTTAGGGTTTAGGGTTTAAGGTTAAGGGTTCTAAGGACTTTAGGAGGGACCCCTGATAGGGACCCTTAATCCCACTACCTTAAATAATCATTGTATAGTCCTTATATACCCCTTATATGCCAGGTAGTCTCCATATAAAGCCCTTAGATACAGGCTGAGACAGAATGGAATCCGATGGTTTGGCTACTGAGAGCTTTTCCGACTTCAATGCTAGTAGTAGTAGTAGTAGTA